TGATCTAGAAACTTTATTTTCACAAGGCTCTGTCAATGCAGATACAACGACGCGCTTTTCAACTCATTTGGATAACTTTGTCAAAATCTTAATTACGTCTATAACTCCAATTCTTTAAACTCTAGCAAAGCTACTCTGTACAATAGGCGAACCTTACCTTTGTCGTATTTAAACTAACCGTTAATCGTTCTAACTTCCTAAAATTCGTAAAAAGAACTAATTATGGCTGTCAAACTTTGGCATGTTTGGAATAGTTAAGGGGTTTAGTTCCAAATCGGATCTATATCGAGGTTGGAAGTGTGTCTCTGTGATAAGTGCGTATGTGCCTTCATTTCTTTCCTTTTTAAGTTGTTCATTTATACATGAATTTTGTTTCACTTTTCTTCATCTTTTTTTCTGTTTTATTATATTTTGTAAGACTCTTTTCGTTATAAGTAGATAATAAGATTTATTTGTAAGAATAAATCTGATTCCGCTGTAAGTTTATGTTACCTGAATTTCATATAAGTAAATAATTTAAAAGTTATTCTAAGCCCACACTGACTTAATATACGCTGTGGTGTGGGAGTATAAACTGCTTATCGGGGAGCATAGATTTTCCGAAAGCTCTCTCCTTTTCATGATGAACCCTGATAACGATTTTTGACCGGCGAAGAAGAATTTAAGGCTTTGACTATCTACAATTTAGAGACAAGTTTTCTGATAGATAGTTTAGGGATACACTGGAGGAAGTTTTGCTTTGACCATTTCTTCTCTCGTGGACTATTGATATGGAGAAACTATAAAGCAGCTGTTATTGCATTGTCACTGGTTCCGTAAAGTAGATTGATGTGGCAATAGTCGATAACATGAAGCCCACCAAGCCCACCACTCCAAGGCCGTTTTCCAAATTTTTAAGTTTTCTTTTTATGTCATGTAAGTGTCTCAGAAAGTGGTATAACTTTGAGAAAATTTGCCAAAAAAATGATATAAATGAACTCCACCGCATATTTATTAAAATCAAATTTTGCTATACATTGGCTGAGGGCTTCCTTTAGCAATTTAAATCACTTTAAGCTTATTTATAGCTATTCAAAAATTATATTCTTTTGGTTTTATGTGAGAGCAAAGGAGGTCATGGTGTTGTCTCACAGGAGCTTTGAGGGAGTTTGATAAAAAAAGGCATGAATTTTTCGGACTTGCAAAAATTAAGATAATTTTGTAGCATTTGGGAATAAAGTCTTCCTTTGAAAGACCATTTTTATGATGCAGCGATAGCATTGGCTTATTGCCAAGCAGGCTAAGGCAAATGGATTTTCTTTCTTTTCTGAAGAGACTTTTAAGCTATTATTAAAAATTTTTCTTTCAGCACTTTAACATATACACAACTTTATTTTATTTGTCTTTCGTAAATAGTTTCAAGAAAGTTAGCCATAATCTATTGTTCACTATGTAACATATAACCCATAAGTTGTCAAAATAAGTTTTTTTAATGAAATTTTGGTACAACAATGAAACAATCCGATTATTTGTATGGAAGCATATAAGAAAGTTACGTTTAACTTGCCGTAGCCTTTAGAGAATATATTTGAAGCTTACCAAGTAAAAGTTTTTTGTATCAATTATAAAATGCTCTGTTAACTGTAAATGTATCACTTGATTAATTGATGCCTTTTCTGGCAAAGAACATAAATTCGATGAGTAGAAAGCCAAATATTAAAATATTCATAAAAATAGCGATACTTTCTGTGAATCATTCCAATCATGTACATTTTTATATAAGCAATTTTTTGTATCATAATATTTGTTAAATGTTTAATTTTAATTAATATATTTTTGTAAAAATTCCACATTTGTTTTTTAAGAAAACAAATACCAAAAAGATAATATAAAACCAAACACACATTTATGATGCTTACCTCAACTCACACAGCTGACAATTGTGGAAAAGATTAAGAGCAATTACAGGAAAAAGGGATTAATACAAAAGTGTTGTAACTAAGCTAAAAGGGTATATTAGGACAATATTTGCAGAAGGTAAAGTCAATCGAGTCGAGACAGTTGAGGTGTACTATTCCACACTAACCACAACCAGCACTAAAACGTTGTAAACATAAGTTCCTATAAGTACTTTACTGTAAATACAATGCCTAGGAAGCCTTAATGGGATTTAATCTCACAAGGACTTGAATAAGAAACGGAACACCACAAAAGGGCAGTTTACGTTACAATTTTTAAATTGCTTTAAATGCCTTTTTAATTTTTCTTAGTCGATAACTGAGTTAGTATTTTCTGTTACTGCGAGGTTTTCTAAAGGAGGTCACTAAGATTTTTTCACTTACGTCATCGAATATAATATTCAGTAATGACGATTTAAAATATTGGGCTTACATGTAATTTTGAAAATATTATCTTGTTAACTTTTCAATACGTCAGTTTAGTGGTCGGTCGATACTTCAGCCTGTTCAATTGTCGATTTTTCAAAAATCAATTCAGTAGGTTTGCCAGTTCATCGACCTGTGCGTTTGCCAATTTGTCGGCTGCCAGTTTGTTGCTATGTCGAGTTGTTGATCTCCCGTTTTTTGGTCAGCTGGTTGGTCTAAGTAGGTCAATTTATTGATAAGTCTACGTGTGCGTACTATGTGTGTTTTTCAATCCGTTCCTTTCATCTGTCGATCGATTCTTTTTCGCTTCCAGAGGGCAATTTGAAAATACACGTCGTTCCACATTAAGCGTAATTTATCGGATCTGATAGATATTTGTGGATGTTGCAAACGAAACAACATTCTTGTTATAACTTTATTCTCCACTAATAGATATAAAAATTCATAAGAATTCCACAATTAAAACTGATAGCCGGCATTCGTTTTTACTTGCTTTTTGTTTACCTACGAAATATGTAATTGATCGCTTTATACTGTTGCGGTATACAATAAAATATAAAAATAGTATATGAAAGCTGATGATAAAGAAAGAGCGAGAGAGATAAGTTCATATAGGCGTAGAGTTGTTATCACTGCTTGATGTGGCACTGAAAGTAATGAGTCCGATATGTTTGTTCTCTTGTTGTAGGCGGTTTGAAAAATTCATCAGTTTCATCAGTACTTCAGAACTTGTTTGTAATTTAAGCCTTGAATTTTTTCCTAACAGCCCACCGCTGCGTAAGTATCTGCCGTTTTTTGTTTCTGCCTTGATCGATTCAAGCAGCCACGCATAATCACATATATATATAACGTTGTTGTTTTCACTGCTATTCATAACAACGAATACACTTGCCTGCATGCAGACACTTAACTAACGGCATATTACAGCCATTAAGGCCTAAACACACATGCATAAACCTTTTTGGTTACTATGCGATTTTCTGTCGCTTGTTGTTTTAAGCTTAGTATGTAATTTTAAGAGAGAATAGCAAATTTAGCAAAGCTTCGTTTTGCATTATTCTCTGCTCAGACATTCTAAGAAGTGGTATATAACATAACACTACTAACGACTTGAATATCGACAGTTTCATATCATCGATATATACAAACAAGCTCAATGTTTGTGGGGCTTATGACTCGTGTGGATTATAATCTCTGTGAGGGTTCAACTTTCCATCTCATAAATTTCAAAAATTCTATCATTATGCATTTTCAAGAAATCTCTCAATATTTTTTTTCTCACATCTTTCATGTTATATCTAATAACTGTATTTATGCGTGCTTATGATTTCGAGCGTAAACTTTCACTTAAACGCCTGTATCGACTTGCAAAAACTTTCGAAAGTTAATTGAGAAAACACTTGTTAATTGAAAAACACTTGGAAGATCACGGTTATCATGCTCTGAATGTTCGCTCTACACACTATATGTCATATTGAAGATTGTACACTCATATATCGCCTGGTTCAAGGACAATGCTATCATATTTCAGAAATTTATTGCTTGTCTCGTACTCGTCAAACGACTTGCTGCTGCAAATAGCCTTGGCACACATACAAACACGCTCATAATAAATATATAGAAAAAGCATAAATAATAATTCCAACATGATCTATCGACGAACGACCACGAATACGCGTAAAGGCATCTAAAATGCCGCTTGGATGCAAACGTGTAAACTAACATAAATATTATTATTAAAAAAATAAAAAAAAGCAAAAAAAAAAAAACAACATTCCTTATGAATTTCTAGATATATGTGGCAAGAAAAAAAAAAAAGCAAAAGCTGCAAAGAGTACTGCTATCGTTTGCTTGTTCATTGCGAACAAATGCTTAAACCTTTAAGTGACTTGTTTAGGAAACTAAAGTGGAGAAGAGACTGTGCACATAATCCTGATGCGATGTACACATATTCTTGAAAGTCTGCAAGTGCATAATAATATTTTATTTTTTCTAGTTTTTTTTTTTTTTTTTTTGCTTTTCTAAATCCGTCCGTATGAAAAATGTATACATTAGGTTTGATATTTCGTTTGTCATTTTGAAAATATACGAAAGTCTCTATAGACGAATATTGAAAGGTGTCCTAAACGGAGTAAGTCTTCCCCAGATATGCTTACTTGCAATAGTCATTTGATGTTAAGAGAGTAAAGTTTCGTACTTATTGGCTTTTGCTAAGTATCCATGAATCGGTTTTGTCGCTTGTTGCACTTTAATTGCAATTTGTTAAAGAATTTCTTAAAAATATTTTACTGCATTAGTTACGGTGTCTTACTGGATATGCTCAGGTTGGCTGTATATGCGTGTTATTAAATATTTTCTTTTCTAGAGAACTTTATAATGTTCGTTATATCATAAATTTCAACTTCTCTATGGTCTTATGAAAAATAAAAATGCACTGGAACTTTGTGTTTCTACTAAATGAATAATTTATTGAAATTTAAAACAACAAATAAATGCTGTTTTCTTTGTAATTAATTAAATAAATGCTATTCACGAAAAATGTTTCTTAATTTTCTCTATTGCGATTGCTACTGTTGAGAAAGCTTGGGCTTTTTTTGTTTTTTTTTTGTTTTTGTTTTTTTTTTTTTTTGATTTTTCCTTCTTTCCAACTTTTTCATTTCTTAGTACCATAGATCAACTCATAGAGCGAAGGAGCCAAGTGTTCAGCAAAAAATATTTGAAATTTCTCGTGAGGAGTTACCGGCGTGTAACGAGCCATTGGGAAAGTACGAGTCACGGCGTCAATCAATACACGTAAGGTAGGTTGTATATCTGCAGCCTTGAAAAGCAATGAGAAATTATGAGAGGGGTTTAAAAAAGCTTTTTTTTTACAACTATGCGAATTTCTTACTTCTTTCGAATATTTATCGACGGAAGTCATGGCCGCTTCATAATAGTCCTCTCCATAGGTTTTCTTTTGTTCGGTTGACAGCTTAGACCACATTTCCTTTGCCTTTAAGGAGAGTTAAAATTTGTAAAAATAATATGAGTATTTTATAAAAAATATTGCGATCATTGGCGGGAGAGAGCTGTAGCGCCTTCTCATTGGCTTCTTTTTGTTTTTATCAATTTTGCTTTCATTCTTTCATTGTGTACCTATTTTCTTCTTCTGCTAAATCGCCACAAAATATGTACATGTTCGAGACTTGAGTCGATTAAACCACGTTTGTTTGCAGTGTAAAATTAAAGCTTATAATGTTGAGCGGATTCCATTCCATGCTGCAGTTAACTATAATTATTAAAGTGCTTTAAAACAATTCCGTTTGCTGTCTTTGCTGGTTCTCAATATCAAGGGCATGACATATAAATTTTGTGGAAAAAATTCTTCTTCTTTCTTTGATATTAGATTGGTAAGGAAAAAATCAGCAAAGAAAAAATTTGGGATTCTCATCATTTCAAGTAACAACTAAGTAGGGTAAGTACCTTGTGGCCTCGTTCAATATGTTTGAAAGCCGAAAATCATGATTTAAATAAAATAAAAACAAGCAAAAGCATTTTAGCCGGGTAGGGCCGACTATTAACTAAGTTACGTCATTTATTCATATGGGAAGCAGTTCAGAAGGAGTTTCGATTTGCTCCGAATTTAGAAAAATTCACTTACTTGCCATAGCCTTTAGTGTCATAAAGTGCTAAAAATAAGGCTTTTTCCTATATAAGGGCTTACTTTCCGTAAGAATGGGGTTGAGTCTAAAATATAGACCCTCACGTCATCCAAACTTTATATGGATCATTTCAATGTCCTATTCTATGTATTATTGCTGCAAATCACTTTTTTTCAAAAAATGTCTCTTGGGGTTGGAATGGGGTTTAAAAATTAGGCTATCCAATTCAAATCCTTTAATTCAATTTAATCGCCCGGAATAGCATTGCTCAGCATTGCCGTAAAAGTGGTCCGATCTATTTCATTTTCTTGCCCTTGAACGAGAACTTAGCAGGACACCAGAACGTAGATCTTTTCCCGAATTCTCCCCAAAAAAATTTGATGAGTAAAGAACCGTCACGTCCTGGTCGAACAATCGCTGATAGAGTTGACGAAACTCTTCAAACAATTGCGGAAGCGCCATAGTTCACATAATGACTTCGTTATCGAATGAATGGCTGGATACAAAAAGCCGGAAAAGAGAAGTGCAGTCATTTTATTTGGTCTGTTAGGGTTCATTTTAATAAAGTCCACGGAGTTTTTTCCCTTACTTAATAACACACCACTCAATAAATCTCTGGTCTGATGCATGTGTGGAAAAAATTGTTGGCATCCGCTAATGAAACTTGGAAAGTAACAGCCTTCTGACAAAATGTCTCAAAATTTCATCACATTCCGATCATCAGTACTCCTTTTAACGCTTGTTGTTCGCTCAGTTCACTGCCAATGTGACTGTGCTTACAAGTCGCATAAGAAATCCTTCTCATTTCGCTGAACCATCAGCATGTTATTGTCAAAAGTGAACATACGCGGCACCTACCGTGAAAAGAGCTTTTCCATGGCCAAATATTTAAGCAACAGAGTAGAGACACTGCCTTCTGATGTCTTTAACGCATCAGCTACCTCAAGTAACTTCAATTTTTTTCCGGTCCTTGTGCATTTTTTTTCAGGTTTATCGGAACACTTGCCGATTGGGGTGAGGTTTAAGACTAGCGGTGTCTACCCGCACACTTTTTTTTTTTCATTTTCTAACAAAAACCTTTCAAGCAACTGAAACATGCAAACTAACTAGTGCTAGTGCTATCCAAAAATCATATGGGCCTGTCAACAGAAAAGCAACAGCGTTTTCTTATATGTGTTAGACAGTAGACTAATTGACTTATGTGTTACATATAAAAGCTGTAATAGGTTTTGTTATGTAAAGGTATGTCAGGTTAATTAGAATTGGTGATAGGTGTATATCGGTGCATAGGTCTTATTGTCTCTTGGGTAGACATTTATTAACAGATGAATGTTTTAAATTTCCTTCCTTTAATTTGTCTTTTCGAAGCAAAACAGATCGAGAAAAACAAAACTATCTTATATTAATATAATTAATTATTTCCTCTCCGCAGAAACATAAATATTATCATTTCGTTCCAAGTATTATAATTATTATGAAAATTGTTTCAATTAGCTTTTGCCATAAAATCCCTGAGAGATATACAGAGTGTTGCTTTAATGGCTTCAAATAAAATTCCATATAAAGTCTTTTTGGCTTAAGAATTCGATGAACATTTTCAAATTAAAAACGTGACATGCGTTGTTTGCACATTTTTGATTGCGTTAGATATTTATTTTTTTTACAGTTGTGTTGTGGAATTCATTATAAAGTCTACAAATGCATTAGAAATTAATTTCATCTGCTCATCAGAGGAATTATGGGAAAGAACTCTGTAAAGGCATGCTTTAATAGGAAAACCATCCTAACCGTTATTTGTAAGCTTAATCGGCTTTGCCAATATTGTTTACTTAACTTGGAATTCATATATGCAGCAATTCGCATAAAATTGTAAACGCGTCGTCATTAACAATAATGCCAACCTTACCTTTACTTATACTTATATAAGTAAGAGATTATCTATGCAATCATCATTATTATCGCATTTGTTGGCCATATGCGTACGCAGTGGTTAGCGTTTATACAATCATTTGTTTTTATTATTACCGCCAATTATGGCTATGTTTTGCTTTCTTTCTTTTATTCATTTTATACGTACGTATACATGCATATATTACTTTGTAAGTTTATGGATTCTATTTAAAAACACATTCATTATTGTGATTGTTGTTCTTGTTCTTGTCGACGTCCATTTTTCTGCTAATAACTAAGGTTGATTTAATAATCGTAGAGACTTACCTGCTCACGTAATTCAGTTTCATTTAGCCAAGCATTGCCGGGTGAGAATTCACCAGCAGCAACAACGGAAACATCAACACCACGCGGACGCATCTCTTGGCGTAAACAAGCTGCAAAACTTTCCACAGCTGCTTGTGTTGCGCATTGTATGCCACGTACTGGTGCTGGCACTTTATTAAGACCTTCGTCGTAAAATTATAACCATACCATACCACAGATGCATAGATAGTTACGAATGAATAAAAAAAAAAGAAAAAGAAATGAAATAATAAAGTTATATTGACCTTGGGATGGATCTTAAATATGTTCGGTAGAAAGTTTCTCTAGTTATGCGTAAATCAGTGAAGGCATGCGAACCATAATTAAATTTTTTGTATTAAACTCAGAAAGGCATGGGAAACACCTCGTAATCTTATAGTGCGATTCCGAATTTATATAACGATATCTATATATATGGCGGTGAAAAGCTTTTATTTATTTTATGGTCGCGGATAAAGCTTAGAAACGTTAATTATTCTCTCAGGAGCGCTTACAATATGCAAAAGCAGAAAAAAGTTTGCAAACAAATTGCCAAAGCATTTTTGACCCAACTAGGTATTTAATATAATTAATAGGGTTGAAAAATGTTCGCCGTCTCTCTCTCCCTCTCTCCCTCTTCTCTTCTCTAATTGTTCTTCATGAGTGTTTAGCTATAATTTTAAAGTTTGTTTGTTTGTTTCGAATTTTACCCACTCAACATGAGCGACAAAAGGTACAAATACTTATTTAAAGATTAGGATTTAAAAGGGGCGTGGCTTATTAAGCGATTTTACGTTTATAATAATATAGTTAACGGGCGACTGTTCGAGTGCAACATTATGTGTACCTCATAAGTGTAAAAGGCATTGATCTAGAAATTAGTTCTTGCAAGTAAACTCAGTTTTGATCAAAATTCGTTACTTCCGCACCTGCCAGATGTCTCCGTAATGTGTTTGATATGTTTAGAAAAGAAACCAAATTTCTTTGCAATTTAGATTTTATATAGGATGTGAAGAACAAACTTGGGACAAAAGTGATTCTTTACTTTATTAATACGAATCAATAGGCACTGATTGAATCTGTTCAGAAATCAGATATATCTATATAAACAAATTCCTGCTTTTTTCTCTTTTTTTCTCTTTTTTCTCTTTAAGGCTTGTGAATATTAGATCACGCGTATAGTTTAGGCTGAGGCGAATTAGACTATACTTCAGATTAAAGGTTTAGCCTAATAAGAAAATCAAATGTATTCATCTAGCCTAACGGCATATTCAACAGTTGTTCTTGTTAATTTTATTCTTTTCTCTCTTCTCTCCTTGAGGTTTGTGAATATTAGGTCACGCATATCGAGTATAGGCTCAGGCGAATTAGACTATACCTCAGATAGAAAGCTTAATCTAAAAAGAAAATCATGTATTCATCTAGGACAACTGCCTGTTCAGTTGAGTTCAACACTTGATATGCTTCAATTGAGAGTGCACCACGTGAACACTTAATCAATGCAAGCATATTAAAACATACTAAATATTATATGATGGGTGATAGTGCTATAATAAAAATGATAAATTTTACTTAATAAATATGACGTCAACAAAACATGGGTATTAAAATAGGGTAGTTGTATTGGTTAGCTTACAGGGAAAACTAAGTGGACTATCGAAGAATCTGTATCAGCTGAGTACATTTTTTGATGAATGGCAGGGACATAAAAGTTGATCCCATTTAAGAAAACCGGCTGGTCAATGACACCATTTATCAAGTTGATCAGGACGATAATGCCTAAGACTAGCCTAAACCACTTGAGCGTAGGTAAATATGTGGGTACTTATTCATTTCCCCAGGATGGCAGACAATCAGACGGATTCCAACCTAAATTTGTTACGAACAAAAAGCTGTAACTGTTCTTGCACAGGTTCATTTAAATTAAAATAGCAGCGATTGGGAAGTGACCATAAAATCGCGGCTCACATACATAGCTCACTTACATAGTGAGAGAATGAGTCGTCGAAATCTCCAGAAGGATTGAACAACATGAAAATTGAACGTTATGGCCAAACTAGATTGAGAAATGCGCCTATATTCTCTTCCTTACGTGAATCAATAAAACATTCCTTGGAGAATGTATAATGTCTTTCACATTTGTCTTGATTTCATATCACAAAGTGCAGTGAGTGAGAGTGGAGTGTTACTAAATTATTCCAATCAGCTTGGAAGGTACATGAGTGAATTTCCGAGAATTGTTTAAGATATTTGATTAATTTCACGAAAATAGTTTAACGTCATCTGTGTTAAGGAGTGACAAGACTTAATTATCAATCATTGTTGCTGTCATTAACATAAGAGATAACCGCTTCCAAGTGACTACCTTGAGGGACAAAAATCTCGTTAAGGCCAAATAAGTTGGAAATCATCTTTAAGCATCTATCACCAAGATAGGAGGATGAACAATTGACTGCACGTGGTGGGAAGCCTAGCCGAAGCAAATTTCATTATAATAATAGGCAATTAACTCTGTTGTAGACCTTACTGGTGTATACAACCGCTTAGCAAGGGTCTCAAAGGCATGGCAGTCGAGGTTTGTGATGGTCGACCTGTCTTGCAATATTCCATGCTGGCTACGAGCAATTACTGACCGGATCGCGTAGTTAACACACTAAATTTTTCAATGTCTCGATGGTTTTTAACGAAATGTCTATTGCTGCACCTAAAGGGCGGGAGAAGAATCTAGCCTTCCAACAAGCAGGAAAACTACTCGTTTCGATGGAACGACTCAAGACCGTCCGGAGGCGGTATTTAGCTATTTTTATCCCTTTAATTTTTTATCGACAGGAATAATTATTCCTAGAATAGACATACAATCATGTATTTGATATAGATCCGTACAGTGAGGATAAAAGTTAATAGAGCCAAAATTAAGTTGAAAGAATTGTCAGAACAAAAAAAAAAAAATCATAGGACGTAAACGAGGAACGTCTCGCTTAAAGTCATCGAATTTATAGAATCGATTTGGATTACTTAAGATACTAGATTTCATCTTAATGTTAGTGTTAGTGTTTAGTGTAACACTCCCGGCTGAATTAAGGGAATTTGCGTCTGACAACGGTCAGAGTGATTAGCATAGTCGGGACTTTTATTATATATTAGACCTGTTTAGTTCAATTTACTTACCAGATGTTAAAAACACTATGCGTCCATTTGCTCTACGTATTAAAGGTAACATCAATTGTGTTAAGCGGGCAACACCTTCACGTTTGAGAAACAACGTTTTATTATATATGTTTTGAAAGTAACTGTCATTCTTACCCAATAGATTCAAATCCAATGACTTGCGCAATACACCGAATGGTATCCATTCCAATTCACCCAATGCAATCCAATGAGCGCAGTGCATTAAAGCCCATAATCCTTGGGCACCGTAAGGCAAATGCTCGGATATAAATAAAGCTGCTTCTAAAAGCTTTTTAAAGGTGTGTAAAAAAGTTCATGTTTATAAAAAAAGTTTAGACAAAAAAAAAAAAAGCTCTACCGTTTTCTCGGATGTCACATCCACATGTAAAATTTTCATTCGACCTGAAGTTTCTTCTTTTAAAATTTTCGCCTCTTCAGAATCTTCAACGGGCACATTGAAACCAGCATAGACAGTAAAACCTAAATCGTCCAATTTTTTCGCCAAATACCAAGCGATAGGTGATTCGCAGCCAGTAATCAAAACTCCTTTACCTGGAGCTGAAACCTGAAAATTAAAAAAATTAAATTTTTATTCGTCGCTCTATTTGGAACACTTGCTGCATTTTTTTTTTTTGTTTTTTTTTAATATTATTTCCTACGCAACTGGTATCAGACAAAGCTTTTGCATAAACTTTTAAAAGCATAAGTAGAGGAAGTTATCGTTTCTTGTAACCACTGCGGAGAGTACAACCAAACAAGCAAGTGGTTCGAATACACATCTGTATGTCATAGTTTATTGTCACATCTCTGTTAAGTATCAAAATGTTAGTTTGCATACATAAACACATTATTGCATTGTGATTTTATCTGCTGAGAAGTAATTATCCTGGTTAACACTTAAATATCACATACACATATACATTTGTTCTTCATACGAAAAATGCAAGATATAATTATTATAATTTATTGGTGACGATGTTGATGATATTTCAAGATGAATTTCGCGTTATTCGCTCGTGAACTTTGCAAATTTCCGTTCGGAGTGAATGATAGACTGATATTATTTTTGCAATCACATATATATAGTTGAGCCAACAAGACCTTCAGATAGGAACAAGGACAACACTGATAAATTTTATTTATTCGTTAAAGTTTGTTCCAGCAACATGATGCTGCTATTTTTATTTACCGGAATATTGGCATTTCCATAATTTCTCGGAATCTGATATTGTCTACAGTAAGGCTTTGTGAAGCTTCCGAATGACTGAACTGCAACTTTTAGAACTTTTCATTTTAGAACTTTAGGAAACGTTTTATAACTGTAAAAGGGTTAATTAACTGTGAAATAAATTGTTGAGTGCATTTTACTTTTTCTTGCTACGATAAATTTTCTAATAATATACGATGTCTGTTAAAGTCTGTTGCCCATCTTATGCAGCCTGTCCAAGATCATTTATGCCGATAATGTTAAATTACTTTTCTACGGACCACCAAAATATAAGGGTATATAGACGATAGGTTTCCTGATCAGCCTTCAGCTCTAAATCCATTTAGGAAAGTGCATTTGTCCGCGCTTCCGTTTGGCTGTCCTAAAGGTTTTCCCTAAGGGCTTTCCATTGGAACCATTTGCGCACAGGTTTTCATTGAAAACAGGACAACTTTGTCGAAGTTTCGCCCAACCTGAGTTGGGAACACTTATTACTCATTACTCATAAACACTCACAATAAATAATTACGCATTCTATTTTACTATAAAAGACTCTATTATAGTTAAATATAGTCTTCTTACTATGGTTATATGTTGCCGTTTCAGTTTTACGTAGAATCTTTCGCTGACAGCGACTTGTTTCCTACTATATATTTCTTCAAATTCTACAATCGATTTTTGCTTGGTCATAAATTGATAATTTTTACGTGATTAAAAGATTTTTCCAAAACATGAAAATTCCTCGGTTGTTCATTCGCCTTCGTGGTGACATTCATCTTAATCCACCTCAGAAACATTTCTTAAAATTTGAATTGCACAATCTTACACCCACTGTTATACTACTGCCACCATTCGATTACTTGTCAACACTCAATACATCTTTATAATTAAGTTAAATAGGATAAGTCATTTTTTTATTTTCCTTAAACTAAATTAACTTTCGCTTCTTTGCCGGTTCTGCAACAAATTTCCCCCGTTCTGAATTTATAGAACAAAAAAAACTAAGAACTATTGCAAAATATTTTTAAAAAATTCAACTTTTAATTTTTTGGTTAGTGATCTCTTTTGTAGCCAAGACTGATGCGAAGACATAATTGTACGCTCGGCAAAATTTTAAATGGTGAAAAAAATTGATTTTTTCAAACACAACCGTGTGATGGTTTAGGATAATTGAAACTGAATATGTTGTTGAAGAAACACGAAATTTTTTTGCAATTCTTTAAAACAACATTCTTTGGTGATAAAATGTGCAGGACTTTTTTCACTGAATTCGTTTATGAATTTTTTGTTAGTACAAGTGTCTTCTTCTTGATCTCTTTCATTTAAATGCGCGCATATTATGCCGAGAGCAAAGTTCTTTACACATTTCACTAAATTTTTTTTTTTGTTTTTTGTTTTTAATTCAAGCTTGGATCATACTTATATAGGAATAATTAAATATATCCCTAATAAGCTCTTCGAATACTATTTTCCTGCTATCTGCTTGGACCCTATTTAAATTGGAATAATTAAAGATACCCCTAACAACCTATTCGAATGTGTCTGCTATCTGCTTGGCATAATTAAAAATACCCCTAATAAATTCTTCGAATATTATTTTTCCGCTATCAGCGTGGACCGTACTTAAATTGGAATAATTAAAGATACCCCTTATAATCTCTGCTGCTATATGTAAATAGAAGTAATTAAAAATACCTCCAAAAAAACCCTTAAGAACCTTAAAGCTCTTATAATGTGTATAACGTATAGTAATTAGTTGACCTACCACGTTATGTTATGTCTTCACTTTTCAATTCCTGTTGGTTATCCATTTAATAGGAAGTCCTTATTGGTCTCAGTGTTCACGATTTAAAGTAAAATCTTGGATAAATAGTTGGCAAACATTTGTCTGTTCACAATGATCTTTTTAGCTTTTATATGTGTGGGATTACGTGCATTTAGGTTTAAACATTCTTTCAACTGATGCAGATACGTGCTTTTCTGTTTTTGTCTGTTTTCTCGTTTAATTAATTGTCTCTCTCTATTAATGTTTGTATTTTGCAGTTTTTCAACCATAATTAAACGTTGGTCTTCATATTTTTAGATCCGTAATTTTTACTGCTGTTGACATTTCTTAAAATAGATAATAAATAAAAAATGAAATCGATTTTCATGATGCCAATGTTACAAAAATATACCAAGGTTTCCATAAACCCATGTTAATATTAATTAAATTTGGAAATCGAAAGGGACTCCGCGATCTATTATATATTATATATATGGGAGAAACGACTAAGAAAATAATTAAAATTCATATGCAACATGCAGCAAAGGAATTGGAGTTAAAAGATTGATATATTGAATAATTTATTTATATATAATTTCGGACAAAACATAAGGATATCAATTGATGATCATGATCATATATATCTACTCTTGAAAAGCTAATTTTAATTAACTTCAAAATTACCTAAACATATTGTTTATATAGTATCTTGAATTGAAGAGCGTATGCCCGGCAAAGCTTGTGGTATCCATGCCTATTTAACACTGGATTTACGGTATTTAACTGTGTTTGCAATTTCAAGCTCAAATATTCTCCATAAGGAGTTAGGTATCTTCAGATATAACAATTTGATTTTCTTAGTGATTTAATGCAGTCAATATATATGTCTACTCTTTTTTTCTAGGTTAGCCCCATTATGCTATTCTCAGATCAGTTATACTTATGTTTACTGAGACCCGTCAATTTCGTCACAGTCGCAAAAGCTGAAATTTGGCACATACAACTCCTGATCGATTATGAATGTGTAATTATGAAATGGGCGTGATTTGTTTACATACACATCCACAACAATTCTTGCATATTGTCATCTATAACTTTCGATTCCCTGAATATATTTATGAAAAACGTTTACCCAAGTGTTTACCAGAACAAGCTATATTTTTGGTGCATAGTGGTCTCGACTGGTGTATTAAGCGATAGGATTTATACCTACTTTATTATATATATATATACATATATATATATATATATATGAAACGTCCACTTGTATCTGGAATTTCTTCTTCTTTTTTTTGATATTTTATCCAATTAACGAGCAAATGGCAAATGAGCCTGGCATCAACAAATACCTGACAGCGAACTCGGTAAGCAATTGTCTAACAAATGGCCTCCTGGATTTTTAAAGGAAAGACGTGCACCGATCACCAGGGATACCTTTGAGCGAATTTGAAGTTTGCCGAACTATACTGACAACTTCTTCACAAGTATTTTCCTTGCAAAAAAGTTGCGTGCATAAAAAAAAAACTTTCGTAGGAGCTTTAAGTGCAAATAGAAAGGAATTGACAAAAATTGCTTACGATAAAAGGATATTATAATCCGATATCCTGCCAATCAGATGAGTTATCCTAATTTACAAATGAAAGCAAATCGAAAGGTATTATCGCTTAGTTGTAAGCACAAAAATGTAAAGGTAGAACAACTTGCCAAACGTGCTCCGCAAACAGTTGCATGTTACAACAACATTAAGTGTGTAGTCGATGTTCTCGACCAAATAGCCAACAAAATATTGCCGTGAAAATAGCCTGCCATAGATGGCCCGTTCAGTTGCTTTATAAAATTTTACATTTGGCGGTCATCAGTGCCTGGATATTGTACGAGTGGAATTAAATTATATCGGAAAGATTTGTCTTTATCAATCAGTTTGCAGAATCGGGCAGCGAACACAATGACAAATGAGATATTAGATCGGCGTATCAAGTCTAAATGGTCGAATATCTTGCCAGATCCTATTATGTAATTATGTAAAAATGTTTGTTTTCAATTTAGACGGTATGCCCGCAGTAAATGTACATCCATGGTAGATGTTATATGCAAAAAATCTACTGAAACAAATTGTTAATGAATAAGGTGCAAATTAATAATTTCCCTATAAACTGCTTCTTTATGTATCCGACAAAAAGACGAATCTCAGTAAAGAAAAGTAGGTATAGTTAATGGCCGTAAACCTAATAATATTCAATAGATCAGACAGATAGTATCAGAAATATTCTCAGTATAAATTCAAACTCATCTATATTATCATTAATTAAGGGTGTATTATTAAACTGATTGGGACGATTTATACACCGCATATTTAGGAGAATTTGGTGAATATTTGCGTACTACTTTTCGAAAATATATTCGCGGTATCGAAATTTATACACAAAACTTTAAAAAAAAAAACTGTCAATGTTTTCCGAAGTTGTTTTTGTATTTATATCTTGTGTGCGCGTATGTGAACAGATCACGTCCATTTGTTAACCACTATTCCTAGTCCATCCGAAAATGTTTATGCTGAATTTCAGCTTTCTAATTTTTTTTTTCTTTTTTTTTTGGCGACTGTGACGATTCGCGA